CAGCACAACCTAGGACGTGGTTCAGTTTCTCTTTGAAACCTAAACCCTAGGAGACCCGCCGCCCTAAAATTCCTAAGCCCCCACTGGCCGGCGGCGTGGCCCAATCGACCTCAAATCCCCACCACACAATCACCACCCACCCTTGATTCCTAATCCACCACCACATCTCCCAAAATCCCCACCAAATCCGGCAAGCTTTAGATCTAAACAAAAAAAAAGAAGAAGAAAAGAAAAATCTTCCAAGTCTTCGAGCTTCCAAGAACGATTAAGGCTGAACAACGAGAACATGCGATTAATACCAATTTCGGCTCAAATCGGAGAATGCCAGAAGTTTGTTCAAGCCAGAGTCCGTCTACTTATTTTAGGTACCTCTGTTCGCTTCTTTTCCTGTCTTTATTTTCTTCTCTTCCCCGTTCTTTCTATTTTCTGTTTCCTTTTCTCTTTGACCGGTTAAAAATTCGGATAGCATTAGTTTGTGAGTAATCGGGACAATTTTGTCAAACAGATTAGAATTAATTTTGTTTGTTTGTCCTTAATTTCTAGATTTCGAGTTAGTATTCAAAGATGGTCGAGTTGTTTTTTTATTTTATGCTATGAATTAGGTTTCAGTTTGGTATGGGTCAGAATTTGAGCTTCAAATGCTCATGTGATTGGATTAATTTCAGCTTTGGGCTTTTGGGTCATTCCTGACCCGTTTCAAAGAAGCCCGGTCGTTTTGGTTTGAGGTTTTGGGCTAGCTTGACCCATGTTTGATTTCCTGAAAGTAATTAGTAAGTCTTTAAGGGGTAGCTTAGGGAAATTGGACATGGGAATCTTTCCTAACTGCTTGAGGAAGGTTCTAGGAAGGTGGGGATTGGGTAGTTCGGTTAATGGGTTTAAAATTCAGGGTGCTATTTGAACAAAAGGGGATTCGAGGAAGGGGTAAAGGGCAAAGTATAGAATCAGATTTTGTTGCCCTAAGAGCTGGCTATAAAAGGCTTATTTCCTTTCATTTGAGGGCAGAGATCAGAATACTAAAAATCAGAAACGGCTGAAAGAGATACTCTGAAAAATATACTAAAATTCCTGCATCTTTTGGGTGGAAATTGGTTTTGATTTTTTTCTCCTTAGTCTTGAGTGTTAGTCGGAATTCAAAAGCTTCAAGGAACTCTTTTTTATTTGGGTTAAAAATGGTCTAAAGAGCTGAACATTGCTGTGTTTGGAGCTGCTGATTCATCTACTCTATTGTTACTGCTGAACTCTTCATTTTCTTTGGTTTCTTTTGATATCCAGGTAACCCTTTTGGACCTTATTGAATGTGAAGCTCAAAATTGAAGCATGTAATCGAATGTAGAGTTCTAGCATAGTATCAGCTGATTTTGTTTAGAATCTAGCTTTGTTTTTCTGCATTACGTTAGTTTTTTTTACTATATGATCTATTATTTGTCTATGCTGTTGACAGTACCCTTCTAGGGCTGTATTAAGATTAGTTTAGCATGTGAGTTAATTCTTCCCGTCATGTATAGTATATTTGGACTTTAGTTTCATCAGTTGGACTCTTATTGTTGTGTATTTGATCTTACACTTTATGGTATGGACTTAACTTAGGTGAATAATATATAAGTTAGTGGTAATATTGGATTCTAGGTCGCTCTCATCACTGACCTTGTTGTTTTAAATTTTGGTTTTAGTAGTTGAATGAATTCAAGAGCCACTGTTGCATTGTAGTGTCTGATGTAAATGTCTGAGGTATTCATTGTTGGATTCACTATAGGTATTGAATTTACCATCAGTTAGTGGTAGCTTTAATCTTAAAAAATACATGTGGCTTGAGTATTCATTGAGTGATAGTGTTCTACTGTTCTGCAGTTGAGATCTAAATTAGGTTTTGAATCTTTTGTTTGGTTTTGATGAAACCAGTTAGTTTAATGTAAATTGAGGTTTGGGTTAATCAAAGTATAAAAGATGTGTGAGATGCAGAACCCCACCCTTTGGACCGGTCAAGTCAATCAAGTGGCCCAAATGAGACTGCTGGGCCCAAGCCAGGCTCACAGGTCTCCAGCCCTTACCTTTCATTCTGGAGTCATTTCCCAGGCCCAAAGCCTCATCGTTTCTCTTCAGTAGTTGGGGCCATTCGATTTTAACGGCCCAAAAGACTAAATATGATGGTCCATTTCTTTAAGATAACCCACTGCCCCATTTGTTCGTAGTTAATAATCCCTTCTAGGTTCAAACCTTTGTGAATGCCAGTGCCATTGGGCTTAATTGAAAATGACTCTTTTAATTAGATTGGGGTGTGCCATATCGAACACGATCCATAATTAATGGCCCTCATAAGACTAGACCAAGAAATCATTTGAAGAGATAGACTTGAGGTGTGCCATAAGCAATTAAATCATTTATGGCCCTCACAAACGTCTTAATTTAGATATTAAAAATGAACTTTGTGGTTTGCTTTAGGCGCGCTAATTACAATTATCACAGTTATTACTAAAACCCTGGGTACATTTCATGTGGCCCGGTTCTAATTTCCAACAAGATTAAATAGAACGTGTCGTGAACCACGAGTGCATTTCATGTAGCATGGCTTGCGATATGTTTTAAATAACCTTGAATTAATTCTTTAAATAAGTAAAAGCGGTTTTCAAAAGTTAAAAATGCACAAAGGCTTAAAAGTGTTTTAAAATCAAATAAATAGGCCAATAATAATAGTTGAGCGACCGTGTTAGAACCACGGAACCCGGGAATGTCTAACACCTTCTCCCGGGTTAACAGAATTCCTTACCCGGATTTCTGTGTTCGCGGACTATAAAACAGAGTCAATCTTTCTTCGATTCGGGATTTAAACCGGTGACTTGGGACACCATAAATTATCCCAAGTGGCGACTCTGATTTCTAAATAAAATAATCCCATTTCGATTGTCACTTAAATTGGAAAAAAACTCCCTTATACCCCTTCCGGGGTAGTAAAAAGGAGATGTGACAGCTCTGGCGACTCTGCTGGGGACAAGAACCCAGAATCTCTAGTTCAGGGTTCAAGAATTCAAGCTTAGAATAATTGTTATATTTGGCTTCATTTATTATCTGGTTTTATTTACATGTTTGGGCCTAATGTGCTAAATGTTGCTTTTTACGAATCCCTTCTCTCTCTAAGTCTTCTAGATCATTTGAGAATGGTGCACTTCGTGTAGCTTCTCTTCTGTTAGAGTCATATCCCAATTTTAGAACGAGGTTCGGTCAAGTTGCAAAGCCGGTGAAGCTTCTGTATTCCCGGTACGCTGCCCCCCTTGGCTCGAGCTGTCCGCTCAGGTAAGCCGGGTCTAGAACAAATAAACCCAGGTTTTCAAACCTAGTATAACATAGCCTCATGCCGGATCCCTAGTAGGAACGCTTGTTTGCATCACGTGCATTTGACTTTGGGGACTCAACATAGGGGTTGGGTCCGTCTAGGACAGGTGCACCCAAAATCAAAAGACCATCCTAATGCATTTTACTTTCTACTTGTGCATTTATTTGACTCGGATTGCATGTTGACCGGCTTTTAGAATAAGGAAAAATTGAGAAAAAATAAATTGAGGTGAGAGAGAGGAAATTACCCGCCTGTGAAAAACCTGGTGTCCAAAATACCCCGAAACTCTGCCGAAAATTTTTCGAAAAGAAAAAAAAAAGAAAAAAGAGCTATTTCAAATGTTTATATTTTATGTGGCGTCAAATTTGACCGAACTACGCAAGTTTGATTCTCATCGGGTCCAACTCCATTTTTGCAAAAATAACCAAAAGTATATGAAGTGTCGTTACTTTGTCATAAATAAATTAGGTAGTTGCGTTCTTGTCCAAAATAGCCAAAATACCCCAAAAGGCACCGGAAGGCTGTTTTTGCAAGAATAGACACCTAAGGTCCTCTTTCAAATGTTTTGATTACTTAGCAAGCACAACCCTAAAATCCTCTTTCCTGAGGTGCTGAAGGGTTATACTCGCAAAACAAAAGTGTTTTGTTTTAAATTGCGACTTTTCAAAATTGGTATTTTTCTCTTGAGTCAAAAAAATCATGGTCTTTTAACCGATCACTATAATTAAATGTGCAGGATGAGCACGATTGAAAATGAACCTTTCGTAGTCCTTGAGGAAATCCCGTTAGAACTACATATGTGGTGGAATAATTTGGGGGAAGTCAGCCGAGATACTGTGTTAAAAGCTTTGGGTGGTCTTGTTGGGCTTCTGAAGATTAAGCCGAGGAAGGATATAATTGAGGCTTTGATACCCTTCTGGGACCCAGCACATAATGTGTTCCATTTTGCTGATTTTTAGCTAACCCCTACGCTTGAGGAAATAACGGGCTACACTGGTTTTAGTGGGAATCTCAGAAATCAATACTCGGTGGCACCTAGAACAGTGACTCCTCATAAGTTTCTGGATCTACTAAGCATCAGTCAGGAAGTTCAAGACGGAAATTTGGCTAAGGGATTCTGCACATTCTACTTCTTGTACAGATGTTACGGGAATCCCCGCGGTTTTGAGATGCCAGTTACCGGTCTTACCAATTCGGGGAACAAAGATAAGTGGGAAGCTCGACAGGGACTGGCTTTTATAGTGGCATTCCTAGGTGTTTTGATTTGCCCAAGAAAGGATGGAAACATAGAATTGGGGCTTGTGGGAATAGCCGACTTCATGACTAAAGAGGCTAATGGCACCATTGTACCGATGATCTTAGCGGAGATTTACCGAGCTCTAACTGTTTGTCGAGAAGGAGGAAAGTTTTTTGAGGGGTGCAATATGCTTCTACAACTCTGGATGGAGGAACACCTCTGCCACCGTCCGGGGTACATGAACTGCGGTATGACCGGTCCTAAATGCATTGAAAAACATGAAGACCGGGTGAGGGGCCATGAGTTTCTGAAGGTACGAAAGCATGGTTCACACTTTTGAGCTCCCTAACTGCAAGTCAAATTGAGTGGACGTTCGGGTGGCTCTCGGTCAGCGAAGTCATTTACATGTCGGCCGAAGTATGTTTTCTTCTATTTATGGGTCTCCGGAGCATTCAACCTTATGCCCCACACAAGGTTCTATGCCAGCTAGGCAGGTACCAGACTATCCCGCATGACGAGGATTTGAGTCGGCAGGTCATCGAATTAGGACCAAGAGCTGTTTTCCCAGAAGAAAGGGTGCGTTGAATTTGGCATCAATGTAGGTTCCTAGAGCCAAAGACTCAGGTACGGGATCTATCCAAAGGCGAGTCAGAGCCTAGCTACACAACTTGGTACGGTAAAAGGTCTCAAGTCCATCAGGAGCCCGAACGGCCCGCCAAAAGGCCCCATGTCCAACAATTCACTGACGGGGTACAGGAGCAATGGGATTGGTTGGCAAAAGAGGCAAGCTACAGAGCCACAATAAGCAAATTGGAGGGGGAAATCCGAGATCTTAAATTTGACAAAAGTGTACAGGCCGCTGCTGATGAAGGGGAGAAAAAGACTCATAAATGGGCTTAGGAAGAAAATAGCTGCTGAGAATCAGGAAAGGAGCCGAAAGGATGAAAGACTCATAAATGGGCTTAGGAAGAAAATAACTGAATGCGAGGATGACTTGGAAAAATCCGAGGGTAATCTGGTAAGAGCTCGAGCACAGTTAGCGAAGAACGCAGAAGGACGAGCGGAATTTGTCCGGCAGCTAAAAAGGAAATATGAGGAAGAAGCCACCAACTTGAAGAAAAAACTAACTACCCTCGAGAATGAAATGGCTAAACAAACAAAGAGCTTTAAAGCTGAAAGAGAGCACTGCTATGCCTTGATGGCACAGTTAGAGAAAGACCTTCAGCAGCTTCAAGTGCAAAATCATACAGCTGAACAAGTTTTGGGGGCCAGATCTCAGCAGATTGGGCGATTGCTTCAAGAGAAGGGTATTATCAAAGAAAGGGTTAGAAGCATTGCGGACTACATTGTGATGAAGTGCAACGAGTGTGAGCACATGACCAGGTCCATGTTCTTTGCCTCCGTTAAGATTTTTTTCCAACAGATCATGGATGACCTATTTCGCCTTCAAGAAGATAGGGCGAATAGGCCTGCGGTGAGACCGACTGATGTCCCGCGGGCCCCAAGAGTAATTGAGGCACTTATGTATTCTTGATTTTTATTCGAGTCTGTATTTTTGTTTTCTTTGGATTCTGTTAGTCCCTTTTCGAGTTTGTATTTTCATTTTTTTAGTTGGAGTCTGTCAGTCCACCTTTCCGAGTCTGTTAGTTTTTATGATTAAAATTTGTAGTAGAAGTCATTGTAACTAGGATGTTTGCTTTTATTTTATTTTTATGAAAAATTGAAAACCCAAAAATGTATCTTTGTTTTATTTTTTCCCAGAAATATGCTTGGTCTGATTCATGCACGTCATGATACGTAGGCAATCCCCATATGATTCGATCATAACCACGAAAATGAAAAAAAAAAGAAAAAGAAAAAAGAGAGAAACTGTGGAGAGAAAGAATGGCAAAACAAGAGAGGAAAAATGAGAGAATAAAAGTAAAGACAAGAACCAGGCAAAGAAAAGCAGGAATAAAAAAAGAGAGAGAGAGAAGTTTCAAAATGAAAATTAGTGAAAAGCCGGGATGTCGCAAGTATCCGTTCAAATGCATAATAGAAATGGTTATCTGCTTAGGTGCATTACATTTCCCAACGTGCGGTTGCCTATCTGTTAAGCTCTAATCGCTAACGAGTTTGTTTGTTGTCATCGAGTCCAGGCAGGTGGTTAGTTTGTTCGGAATTCTGGCAACTCACTCGTACAACACCCAGTCTAAAGACAAGTTAATTTGGCTGCCCAGGAATTGGATGCAAGGGTTATTGATCCGTCAAGAGAGGGGGAAGAGTCTGATGTCAATCTGAAAGAGGAGTTGCATAAGTTAAAACACCAAATGGCAGAGATGTACCAAGCGTGGATGAAAGGGCATCCACCACCATCATACCCCGCCAACCCTGCTTTCTTCCCACCACTGGCTCAATCCCAAGAACCTCCCACTGTTGATTCATCTCCAGGTTTCCCCCCATTTCCACCACTATCAAGGCACCAATTCCCAAACCACACAAGCACCACCAGCTAAACCAATCCCATATCCCCCTCCACCAGCCACCTCTATTTTCTTGGCACCACCACCAGCTACGCTTCATCGATCCTCCAGCGAGCCTTTGTTTCAAACCCAAAAGAACCAATACTATCCCCCGGAGCCTACTTTCAAGGCCCCAGATCATTACTCCTACACTCCTCGTTTTGACCTCCCAGTTGAGACTGAGAAACCACTTAAAAACCCAAAGCAGAAGGAAATGTTCAGAAAGGTAAAAAGCCCGGAACAATCGTTCAGAAGCATGCAGGAATTGGGAGGCCAGGTGAGCGTGGCCTACAAAGATTTCTGTTTATTTCCTGATGTTTAGTTGCTTGTGGGTTTCAAGATGCCTAAATTCGATCTGTATGATGGGCATGGAGACCCGGTGGCCCACCTGAGGGGATTCTGTAGCAAGATGAGAGGGGCAGGCAAAAAAGATGAGTTGTTAATGGCATACTTTAGCCAGAGTCTGAGTGGCGCTGCACTGGAGTGGTACACGCGTCAAGATCATAATAGATGGTATACTTGGGATGATTTGTCCCAAGCTTTCGCTCGTCATTTCCAGTACAACATCGAGATTGTTCCGAATCGATTGTCTCTAACTAAGATTGAGAAGAAGCCTAGTGAAAGCTTCAGAGAATATGGTTTTCGCTGGAGAGAACAAGCAGCGAGGGTTAACCCTCCCATGGAGGAGAACGAAATGGTGGAATACTTTCTACAGGCTTTGGAGCCCACTTACTTTGGCCATCTGATATTGGCCATAGGCAAGTCATTCAATGAGGTAGTGAAGATGGATGGCATGGTGGAAGAAGGGCTTAAGTCAAGCAAAATCATGATCTATTCGGCCATCAAAGCAACTACTCAAGCCATTCAAAATGGTACCGGGGGAGTGATCGGAAAGAAGAAGAAAGAAGATGTGGCGACAGTTGATTCAGGATCATGGTTTGGACCAAGGGGCCCGTCACACCATTATACCCAGCCTCGACCTCATCACCAAATCTACACCCAAACCCCATATAATCCACCCCAGCATTACTACCCATCACCAGACCCTCAGATTTCTGTCAACCATGCCCAGTCATATACCCAACCTCCTCCCTACTCACAATGGCGAGCACCAGCCCTAGGAAACACCTACCGAGATCTACAAAATGCTTACGCACCCCCACGAGCCTACCAGTGAGGCCAAGCCAGTCAAAAAACCAATGTTTGAAAGATCAGTGAACAAGTTGAGCATGACAAACGGCGAACCATCTGTGGTAGTCAAGAAAGGATCCCCAAATGATTCTGTAGCATAGAAAGATAAGTCAAAAGTGGTTGTGTGAGGTTTGGTAAACAAGCCTATTGTGATTGTAGAGGGTGCCCGTACGGACCCTATCATCATCAGGCCCGTAACCCAGTTGCCGATAGTCAACACCAAGGCTATCCCATGGAGCAATGAACGGATGATAGTGACCTACAGGGGAAAGGAAGTGAAGGAAGAAGTCAATGAGGCCCAAGGACTAACTCGTTCGGGGAGATGCTTTGCCCCGGAAGAGTTGAGGAAAGCTAAAGCACCCAGAGATAATCCAGTTCTAGTGAAGAAAGCAGTCACTGAGGAAGAACCAGAGGAATTTTTGAGAAAAATGAAGGTACAAGATTACTCCATCGTGGAGCAGCTGAGAAAGACGCCCGCTCAGATTTCCCTGCTGTCATTATTGATCCACTCAGATGAGCATCGTCGGGCCTTGATAAAAATTCTGAACGAAGCTCATGTCCCCGACAAAATTTTAGTGAACCATTTGGAAAAGATCGCCAACAAAATATTTGAGGTGAACAGGGTCACTTTCTCTAATGACGAGTTGCATGTGGAAGGTACTGAACACAACACAGCTCTCTATCTGACGGTAAAATGTGAAGATTCTGTGGTCACCAGGGTGCTAGTTGACGATGGTTCCGGCGCAAACATTTGCCCTCTCTCTACTCTGAACAAGCTGAAAGTTGATGATGAGAGGATTCACAAGAACACCATATGCGTCCGAGGTTTTGACGGTGGAGGGAAAGACTCAGTTGGGGATATATTGCTTGAATTGACAATAGGACCGATGGAATTCACTATGGAGTTCTAGGTGCTGGACGTAGCCGTCTCCTACTATTTGCTGTTAGGTCGGACTTGGATACATGCCGCCAAAGCAGTCCTGTCCACTTTGCACCAGATGGTCAAGTTTGAGTGGGATAGCCAGGAGATCGTTGTGCATGGCGAAGAGAATTTGTGTGCTCATAGTGACGCCTCCGTCCTATTTATTGAGGTTGAAGATGACAAAGGGCCTTGGGTCTACCAAGTTTTTGAAACAGTGTCAGTCGAGAAGGTTCTAGAAGGGAAATGTGTTCCAACTCCAAAGATGACCTCTGCATCCGTCATGGTGTCCTCTGAAATGCTGAAAAATGGTTTTGTGCCAGGAAAAGGTCTAGGTGCATCCCTCAGGGTATCATACAGCCGGTGTCCCTCGCTGAAAATTTGGGTACGTTCGGTCTTGGATTCAAACCTACAGCGGCAGTTGTGAAAAGGGCTAAAAGGTTGAAACAGAATGCGTGGGCACTTCCAAAGCCTATCCCACATATCTCCAGGTCTTTTGTTAAGCCCCCAGTGACAATAGTTCCAAGTTCTGTGGTTGACATTGATGAGGAGTTAATTGAAAGGTTCCAGAGGTTGTTTGATGCTGTGAACATGGTAGAAGTTGGAGAAGGTTCTAGCAAATCAGACGTGCAGTTCGTCGGGCCGAATGTAAAGCTTAACAATTGAAAGGCTACTCCTCTCCCTCCCCGGAAGGAGTCTTGGTAGTTTGTTTTATTTTCCTTTCTATCTGGGTCATTCCATGGTTGTGACCCGGACTTTTATTTTCCGCTTGTTGATGTACAAACCTTGTTATCCATTATTTTTAATGAAATGCAATTTCCTTTTTCCATCATTCCTGATAGTTTTATTTTTTGTTTTATTTTCTTTTCTGTACAGTTCTTTTTATGCTGGTTTCGATGACATGACATGCATGAGGAATCTTCGGCCCAGTCTTAAAAGTCAATCTAATTCTGTAATAATAATTCAAGAAATAGAGTGTGATAATGAATCAGAATATGATGAGGATGAGGCCTTTGAAGAGATTAGTAAGGAACTAAATCATTTTGAAGAAAACCCCAAGCCTAACCTGAATGATACGGAAGCAATTAATTTAGGGAACCCAGATAATGTCAGAGAAACTAAGATAATTATCCATCTTGAACCGCAAATCAGAGAAGAAATAATTAAAGCATTATTGGAATATAAGGATATTTTTGCATGGTCGTATGATGACATGCCAGGTTTGAGCACCGATTTGGTGGTCCATAAATTGCCAATTGATCCAGCATTCCCTCCCGTCAAGTAGAAGTTGAGAAAGTTCAAAACTTACATGAGTGTGAAAATTAAAGAAGAAGTCACAAAGTAGCTTGATGCAAAAGTCATTCGAGTCACGCGGTATCCCACATGGTTAGCTAATGTTGTGCCTGTGCCGAAGAAAGATGGTAAGACCAGAGTGTGTGTTGATTACCGTGACCTCAACAAAGCGAGTCCAAAGGACAATTTCCCACTGCCAAATATCCATATTTTTTTACTGATAATTGTGCCAAACATGAGATTGGGTCTTTTGTGGATTGCTACGCGGGGTATCATCAGATTTTAATGGATGAGGAAGATGCGGAAAAGACGACATTCATCACGTCGTGGGGAACATACTACTACCGGGTCATGCCTTTTAGTTTGAAAAATGCTAGGGCAGCTTAAATGAGGGCGATGACTACCATATTCCATGACATGATACACAAGGAGATTGAGGTTTACGTGGATGATGTGATCATAAAGTCCAGGAAGTAGTCTGACCACGTCAAAGATTTGAGAAAGTTTTTCCAAAGGCTCCGCAGGTACAATCTTAAGCTTAATTCGGCAAAGTGCGCATTTGGTGTTCCATCGGGGAAACTGTTGGGATTCATAGTCAGCCGTCGAGGCATCGAGTTGGACCCGTCAAAGATCAAAGCTATCCAAGAATTGCCACCTCCAAGGAACAAGACTGAGGTGATGAGTTTGATCGGGCGTTTAAACTACATCAGCAGGTTTATTGCTCAACTCACGACAACTTGTGAGCCCATCTTTAAGTTGTTGAAGAAGGATGTTGCAGTCAAATGGACTGATGAGTTCCAGGAGGCATTTGATAAGATCAAAGGATACTTGTCAAACCCACCTGTGCTGGTCCCGCCGGAACCTGGGAGGCCTTTGATTCTTTATTTGACAGTCTTGGAAAATTTTTTTGGTGGTGTATTGGGCCAACATGACATAACTGGCAGGAAGGAGCAAGCCATCTATTATCTCAGCAAGAAGTTCACATCTTATGAGGTTAAGTACACTTACCTTGAAAGGACATGTTGCACCCTAACTTGGGTAGCACAGAAGTTGAAGCATTATTTGTCATCCTACACTACTTACCTCATTTCTCGCCTATATCCTTTAAAGTATATCTTTCAGAAGCCTATGCCCATAGGAAGTCCTGCAAAGTGGCAGATTTTGCTCACAGAGTTTGACATTATCTATGTGACTCGAACTACCATTTGGCCGAGAATCCGGTCGATGAAGAGTATGAACCATTGAGAACTTATTTTCCCGATGAAGATGTGATGCATATTGAGGAGATGGAGCAGGTTGAAAAACCAGGTTGGAAACTTTTCTTTGATGGAGCTGCTAACATGAAAGGCGTCAGGATAGGGGCCGTGCTTATTTCTGAAACAAGGCATCACTACCCTGTTACAGCTCAGCTTCGTTTCTATTGTACCAACAACATGGCCGAGTACGAGGCATGCATCTTGGGTTTGAGGTTAGCTGTAGACATGGGTGTCTAGGAAGTCTTGGTCTTGGGAGACTCGAACCTTCTGGTGCACCAGATTCAAGGAGAATGGGAAACACGGGATTTAAAGCTCATACCATACTGACAATGTTTGCATGATCTTTGTCAACGGTTTCGATCAGTAGAGTTCAGGCATATTCCAAGGATCCATAATAAGGTTGCCGATGCTTTGGCTACCTTGGCGTCAATGTTGCACCATCCGGATAAAGCTTATGTCGACCCTCTGCATATTTAAGTCCGCGATCAGCATGCTTACTGTAACATGGTGGAAGAAGAACTTGATGGTGAGCCGTGGTTCCACGACATTAGGGAGTACATCAGAATAGGGGTATATTTGGTACAAGCCATGGGGGATCAAAAGAGAACAATTCGACGTTTGGCAAGCAGATTTTTCTTTAGTGGGGGAATTTTGTACAAAAGA